CACCAACACCAACACCAACACCAACACCAACACCAACACCTACACCAACACCAACACCAACACCAACACCAACACCAACACCAACACCAACACCAACACCAACACCAACACCAACACCAACACCAACACCAACACCAACACCAACACCAACACCAACACCAACACCAACACCAACACCAACACCAACACCAACACCAACACCAACACCAACCCCAACACCACACCAACACCAACACCAACACCAACACCAACACCAACACCAACACCAACACCAACACCAACACCAACACCAACACCAACACCAACACCAACACCAACACCAACACCAACACCAACACCAACACAAACACCCACACCAACACCAACACCAACACCAACACCAACACCAACACCAACACCAACACCAACACCAACACAACAACAACAACAACAACAACAACAACACAAACACCAACACCAACACCAACACCAACACCAACACCAACACCAACACAACACCAACACCAACACCAACACCAACACCAACACCAACACCAACAACAACAACACCAACACCAACACCAACACCAACACCAACACCAACACCAACACCAACACCAACACCAACACCAACACCAACACCAACACCAACACCAACACCAACACCAACACCAACACCACCAACACCAACACCAACACCAACACCAACACCAACACCAACACCAACACCAACACCAACACCAACACCAACACCAACACACACACCAACACCAACGCACGCACACCAACGCACGCAAGCACACGCGCATGCATGCATGCATGCGCTGCGCGCGCGGCCACGCACGCACGCAAGCACGCGCCCAGGCCCGCTCGTGCGCCCCGCTTTCGCAAGACCAGGCGCCCATGCGCTCGCGCCCACGCGCCTACGCGCCTTGCACCCACGCGCGCGGGCGCGCGCCAGTGCGTGTGCGCGCCCACGCGGACGCACTATGCTTACGCGCGTCACATGCGAACATGAGCACATGCACATGCGCAAACTCCTGCGCCTTCACCCGCACCCGCACACGCGCCCGCGCCCGCACGCGCGCACGCGCACGCGCGCACTTGCACGCACACATAACATGTCTCCCACCGACAAGAAGCGCGCACGCGCGCAAAGCGCATCCTTTGCAGATGTGCACAGAAAGCTAGCGACTTATGCGAACGCAGTATTCAAATGTGAAGGCATTACTTGCCTCACAATGTCCATTGCAGGCAATTTTTTGATCCGTGGCCCCAGGCCAATCAGATCTGCCCCTGATGGAAGCCTCGAAGTGCTTTGTGCTCAAAATCCAGCGTTTTGCCTGCATTTACAAGGTGTGTTCCAGGAAAGCCTTCAGAAATGCGGGAATGTTGGCATGGTCCAGATATGACAGAGGCTCATGTGCCCATGCCACAGGTTGTGAACTATCTCAAGTCTGAGCCGGGCAAGCGAGTGCTGGTGGACTTTCCAGGTGAATTTCGACTCATCGGGGCTCTATGGAAGCCTTCCGTGGATGTTACACCTTTGGACACAGCGATCCGTGGCAGCTGCCTCAGGTAGCTTTGAACTCAGTTTGTACAACATGCCTTTCACAGGCATTCAAGGGAAGTGCTGCATCCATGCTCAGGTCTCACCAGCGCGGGCATGAAAAATGCCCAACGCTATATTCGTCGCTGGATTGCAATGAAGACACGGAGCAACACAACATGATAGCGAACAGAAGCAACATCGCCAGACATGGCGCAGGTTCCTATGTTGCAGAGCGGGAAGAGCTTGGCTTTGCTGCATTGCGTGCGATGCTGTTTGACGTCACAGAGCAGGCAGCTGGGAGCACTTGGGTGTTCATGCAGCGCACTAGTTGCAGCATACCAATTTGTTGGCAGCGTGCCGACTATCCCAGGCCAATGCCACGCACAAGACGTTCCACTTCGTGTGCAGCATGAATCGAAGAGCATCAGATCGATTTGTAAACCTGCTCAATCTGTTTCTGGAAAGTCAGCAGGCTTGCTGCGTCGCCAAAGGCCAGGTTTGGACGACTACTCAGAAGATATGTTGCAGACACTTGCTGAGCTTGCTCCATTTGTTTAAGCAACGCTCTGCAACGCACCTCACCTCATGGCTGCTTGAAGCTATTTGGCTGTGGCTCAAAATTAAACAGTAGGGGTTACGCGGGTTTTGGTCCATGTTTCCACTTACCAAGGTTCCATTTCGGTACCGGTTTTTTGAGCCACTGCCATTTGTGTGTCTCTTTGTCATGTCATAGCGAACTAGACAGATTGGACGCTTCGAGTATGCCGTTTGGTGACCATGTTGCGCTTTCCAGGCGATGAGCTGTTCCAGATTCCGGAGGCCTTGAGGGCGCAGCTTTGCCCCATGTTCCACCAGGTTGCCTGGTGGCGCATCGACCAATTGCAGGAGCAGTCTGCGCAAGACTTTGTGAATGACGCTTGCCATCATGAGCAACTGACAAAATTACAGATACTGTTTTACTAGTTCTGGGAGGACATGAGGCCACCCGATTGGTTCCACCTCATTTTCCCCACGTCCTCTTTGGGAAACGAACAACTTTGTTTGGAGCTCACACGCGCTCCGTGGGGTTGCAGTTGGAGATTCTTCCTGTAGCTTGGCCTTTCCAAGGACTATCAACGAGTGAACCTCCTAGAGAATGGAGTCACTACTCGCCCCACAACGAATGCACACTTTGACATGCTGCGGCGGCTTCAGCGGTTCACAGCCGAGCAGGTGTTTCAGCAGTGTGCTTTGACATGGCCTGAGCTGAGAGTCCGGCAGTGTCGGAATGTGTTGGAGTGATGCGAATGTGCCATTCATATCCATACATTCAGCCTAGTTTCAGAATGCACGTGATATGTCATGTTCTCAGCAGCTAAGGAGAGAGCAGGCATTGTTTTCTGTGCCGAGGGACAAGTGGAAGGATGTCAATTGTGGGGAGCTGGAGCCTCTTATTCCAGGCTTCTGGCTATTGAGCGTGCAGCATGTGTGTGTGTGTGTGTGTGTGTGTGCGTGTGTTGCATTCTATTTGTTTGTCTGTTTGTCTGTCTGTCTGTCTGCTTGGGGGCAAGGTGGCAGAAGACGTCTTTTCAGAAGCCAAGGTTGCACCACGCTCAGTGTGTTGTCCTTCAACCTGAACATTCTTCCGTTCGGTGTGGCCTCCCTCCGGGGCCACGAGAGCCAGCACAGCAGCGGGCGGCTTCACGAGTTCCTGAATCGCATCAAGGCGGACCTGGAGACCGAGGCCAAAGCGACAGTCGGTCAGGCACCTTGCCGCGGCCAGAGTTGAGATGGCAAGATGGGACTTGTTTTGAGGTGCCCATAGTGCCCCGCTAAACGGGGCAGAATGACAGGGTTTCACAAAGGACCATCTTTGACAGCCCTCTGCAGATGCAGTTTGGGGATGGTCCAGTTGGAGAAACGGCATTTGTCAGTACAATAGTTGACATGTCAAAGTATGGAGTAAAGGACTTTGCAGCAAACGCTGGAAGGACTTCAGGGCGCCAGACATCATTGCCCTTCAAGAGCTGTTTGCGTCTCCTTTCGTGCCCTGCTTTTGCGCACAATCCTATGCTGTAAAGACGATGGCATCGATGGGTTACCATGCGGTGATTGGCCCAAAGCCGAACGTCAGAGACTTGATCTGGCGAGGCAAATGGACAGACAGCGGTTTGGTAATCTTCAGCCGATTGCCTGTGGCAGAGACACGTTCCATCCGTTTTGAGTCGGGTGCTGCGCTGGATGCTGGGGCTTGCAAGGGCGCCATGTGGGCCAGGCGCATGAATTGTACAAGTGTAGGCAAGGCTAGAGGACGCACGCACACACACACACAGACACACAGACGCACGGACGCACGGACACACAGACACAACAAACGCACACACAAACGCGCAAAACACGCACACACGCCAGCAGGAGTGGTAACAATGACATATTGTATGGAACAGCGACCAAACATGTATAACACTGAAGCATGTCTATTCAGGTTTTTCTCCTAAAGGTCTGTCTATTGAGGTTTTTCTCCCATATTGAGTTTTTATCCGTCTCCGCCTCATCCTCCATGTTCGTACAAACTCGTACAAACTGAGTGCTCATCTGCTTTGGCTAAGTTCCTTCGCTCTCGCCCTCAAACAAAAGCACACCCTTCTTCTTAAGCCGCGTAACCTCATGCGTATCAAAGCGCGTCAACCGCACGCTGCCCGTATGGACAGTCTGTCCATTGTTTTTTTGCTCCTCAAACGGCTGTTTGGCTCAAAGTGCAAAGATCCAGTGCCGAATCGCCTTTTCCTAGTCAAACGGCCGTTTGACTCAAAATGCACCGTCCAGGACCGTCTTTGCTAGTCAAGCGGCCGTTTGATTCAGAAAGTACAGATCCGTACCCTCCGGCGACGGCTCCTGGAAGTATCCAAAGAGAAAGAACTGCTTTCCATCAGAAAAAAAGAAAAAACAAGAAACTTCGACTTTTACGCCTCTTCTATCGTAGGTACAATTCTTGGTGGTGTCGTTTGTTGTGGTGACTGTACTTTCTTCCTTTGGCTTTTGGTTTGTGTCTGTGGTTTGACATGGAATATGCGATTTGGGCACTGGATCTATGCATTTTGAGTCAAACGTTTGAGTTGGGACAAAACGGCGTACGGGGACAGCTCCTGGAAAACACCTTAAGAGAAAGAACTGCTTTCCAGTTCAATTCTTGCGCGTTGTGAGCACTCCGCCTTGCCATTAGCCTACGCATTGCGTGCGTCGCCTTGAGCCGGTATACATCCTGCCCAGGCGCAAAGTGTTTCATCGCAAGCGTTGCCATCACCTTGTGCATCGTGATGCTGCACCACTCGCAGCACAGGCTAGCGCCAATTGCGCTAGCCTGTGGTGATGCCTGCGCCTTTGCGCTACAGCTTGTGAGCAAAAGTTTGTGTGCCCGAATCGCCCTCATGTGCTGTTTTGGGCATTACATGATACCTTCAGGACGCAACAGTCCGTCATCCGCCTTGGGCCTTGCCAGCCACTTGCTGTCTTTGTGCCCCACGCTCCTTATGCGCTTCACCGTTGCCTGACGCAGCCCCTTATGGGTCTCGACGCCTGGTCTGCCTTTGCGCACGTGTCAAAACTTGACTAGCCTTGCGCAGAAAGCCCTGGCTAGCAGGAAGAACAGCCTTTCCATTTTGTTGCCCAGAGCCCGCATCTTCGTGCACTCAGGCAGCTTTGCATGTGCAGATCTTCCCGCATCCATTTTTGTGTCAGGTGATTTCAAGCTGAGGCCGCGTCCTCAGCCAAGTTCTTGAGCCACGCTCTTGAACAGCTTCCCCCGCTGGGGTAGCAGCCTTGACACCGCGTCTCTCGGCACCAAGGCTGCTGCGGAGCCTTCGCAAGGCACGCTACCTTGTAGTCAGGGCCGCGCCCTCGACATGCCTTTCCACGCGGGTTTGGCATTCTCTTGACACAGCTCAGGTGCAGAGCTGGAGCAATGCCTTGTCAAATGGAGCCTTATGTTGAAGCTCTGTAAGGACTGCAGCTTGTTGGCAATCGCAATGGAAGCCTCCTCGCAGCCCCAGGTCCTGGCGGAGACGTTTTGAAGGCTCTTCTTTGCTTTTGGCTGTGGTTTGACCAGGAAAAGACGATTTGGTGGATCTTTGCATTAGAGTCAAACGACCGCGTTGACTTGAAAAACTAGACGACGATTGGCCCGGAAGCATAGAGGCAAGTTGTTTTGGATCAAGTAGTTTAGTCGTGCGTTACCCTGACAAGCTGCGCACAGACAGACTCCGCTTTTTGTCAGCGGCTCAAATATGACACTAAAAGTTGAGGATTTTCATGCTCTTCTCAGTACAGGTTCTCCCGGCTCATCGCGATCTTGCCAACCATCATGTTGCGCGTGTAGATCGAGTGGCTCGGCGTGTGGATCTCGAGATGCATACCATGCTTCGGGCGGCTCCAACATGACCAGATACACTACCGCGATGCCTGAACCAACCACCAACCGTGGAGAAACCACCACCACCTGGGCGAAGCGAGACTGGAGCGAAGCTCCTGGACATGCAGGCAACTTACATAGCGAGGTCTGCTGATGTTGTCCGGCTTCACTCGGCTTCCCTTGGCTTCCCTTGGCTTCACTCCAGTGCAACAGCGTGCAATGAGCACAAATGCTCAAGCATGTCATGTAGGCTGTTCAATCTGCTGGTGTTGTCCGGCTTCACTCGGCTTCCCTTGGCGTCACTCAAGTGCAACAGCGTGCAGGCAGCGCAAATGCGCAAGCGTGTCATGTAGGTTGTTCAATCTGCTGATGTTGTCCGGCTTCACTCGGCTTCCCTTGGCTTCCCTTGGCTTCACTCAAGTGCAACAGCGTGCAGGCAGCACAAATGCTCAAGCGTGTCATGTAGGTTGTTCAATCTGCTGGTGTTGTCCGGCTTCCCTCGGCTTCACTCAAGTGCAACAGCGTTCAATGAGCACAGATGCTCAAGCATGTCACGTAGGTTGTTCAATCTGCGGGTGTTGTCCGGCTTCACACACCTCAAACTCAGCATGAGTGTGTTGCAGCGATTCTCTAGCCCAGCTTATAATCTCAACATGCTTCGCTGGCAGAAGTTTCTGAGGACCGAGCCAAGACAAATTTACACCTCAGTTCGTTCTTAATTACAAAACTGCCCAGCGCAGAGTGGCTCCCACGTCACTTCGCAAACAAGACAAGATGCTATGTGAAATGCACATTTTTTATCGGCAGCAATCGTGTGCGGCAGAAAGCCCTGGAAGCGCAAGCAACTTCAAGGACGCCTGGGAAAAAATCCGCCTGCGCCGCACAGACCGGAAGGTCCAGGAGCTGTGGAATGCAGAGCCAGTCGGCGACGCTTCGGAAAGATCCGCCTGCGCCGCACAGACCGCCCGCCGTCCATCACAGCTTCAGCTTTCCAAAGAAGTCCACCAAGTCATCCTCAAGCGGGCAGCCATTAGCTCCATCTAGCGCCCATTCTTCTGCGCCCTTGCCGCAAGAGGTGCAGCCAACATCGAAGTCCGGCGAGTCAGCAAAGTAGCGCAAGCATGTCAGGCAGCGATCCTCCGCTGCGTGCAAGACAAGTGCTCCCTCATCTTCTTGGCCGTCTTTTGGCCGTGCTTCTTGAAGAACTTCTTGCAGTGTGGAGCGTGAGGGCAAGGTCCCACATCCACCGGAGGATGCGGCGCAGCCTTGGGCGCAGAAGTAGAGGCTTTGGATGACCTGGATGCCGACTTGGAAGCAGACTTTCCCGATGGAAAGCGACCAGTTTGCCGGTATCCCCATGGATCCTCTTTGCCAGCAGCGGGCGGCTCTTCACGGCGGGAAGAGGCAGCGGACGACTGGTCTCCTTGACGAAAATCATGGAAGTCGTCCCAGGCTGCCAGGACAGCTCTCACTCGCTCCGGATCCACCTGCGGCGTGCTGGCGAAGCCACTGGAAGTACTTCTTCTTCACGTCTGCGAAAGGCGCCGTGAAAGCGTCCACGTTCTCAAAACCCAGCTCTGACAGCAAAGAACCGAAAGGAGCCGTGGCTGCAAATGATGCGATGTATCTTTTTTTCTGCAACTCGATCTAGAGACGGCTTCGCCCAGCAAGCTAACACGCGCTGCCCAAACACGACAGAGCACGAGAAAGATTATTTTCGCATGCGTTGTATTCCCTGGCCACGCTTTGGAAACATCCGCATGCGCGATGCCAGGAGATCAAATTCCGATTTGTTGGAAAAAGGCGTCAAGCTCTGCGCAAGATTGGCATCGCATGTTCACGCCGTCTTGGCGAGCGTAGAAGTCGAGACACGTGAGACAGTGCGCTTCAGCTGCATACAAAAAAAGTACTCTTGCTGCCGGTCCGAGTTCATCTCCTTCTTCTTCTTGTTCAACTTGCCGCAGTGCGGCACAGCCTTGCTGGCTCGTGCAAACGAACAGCGTGCGCAGATTGCGTACTCGTCGGTCTGCTGCTCGCCGAAGAAGCAGGCCTGGTGTCTGCAGAAAGCTGCAGCGCTTCTCGCCATGCCAGAAATAGACGATGCCGATCCAAGAGATCGTGCCACTGGCCGAATGGCTCGTTGATGTGCTCTTGCCAGAGTCCTGCAGCAGCAGGATGGCTGAGCTCCTTGAGCGCAAACAGACTTGAAGCGCAGGCCTCCTCCACATCATGCAAGGTAGCATTCCGAGGAGATTCGTCCGGCAAGCCTATCTTTTCTAGATAGTGCAAGAAGTACCGACGTGCTATCCACGCCTCGAAGCCAAAAGAGCGCGAAGGTCTAGGCGGGGACCGGGAACGCTGCCGTTCTCCTTCCAGCACAGACCCTGTGGCTAGGGAAGGTGCTCCAGTGCGAAAAGCCTCGAAAGCTCGGAGCTGCAGCCCGGCCTCGCGATCACGCTCTGCAGGATTGCTCTGGCTGCGCGAACGCACAGCTTCACGAACTAGGTTTAAGTCGACGCTGAAGGGCTCTTCGCAGCGAAGGTCCAGCCGCTGCAAGAAGTCCAAAAAGTACTTGTGCGCGATAAAGTCGTGCAGGGGCACAAGCATCGGAAGGTCAGCAAAAGGAAGAAACACAACTCAGGAACGCAAAAAAACCGTTTCTGCACGAGCCAAAGATGCGGCAAGTCTCCGCCGCTGATATGACATACGCGTGCACTTGCTGACACAGCGGCAGACGTTCTTTTTTTGGAGCAATGTCGCATTTCCGCAAGCGCTCTAGCTCGCGCATTGGAAATTGCCGCCCGTGCGGCTGCGTGAAAAAAGGCTAGCTTCGACGAGCAGACGGCAAAGCTCGTTTCCCGAGCGCC